CAAAATTGTTCCCTAATGTTTATCAAGTACTAATAAGCCCGAGTATTTCTGGATTCCTGAATTCTGCAAGTGGATGGCATCAATTTTTTGGTTCAACCATTAATTATTTACCCCAGTTTAGCCAAACAAACAAAAGAATAATCGTAACAAATCCAGAAGGAAACCTTTTCAGAGAAAGTAAAGTTTTAGGGAAGGATGCTTTATTATTTTTTCATATAGATGATTGCCAATTACTAATGGAAGATTACCATCAATTCTTAAAGGTACTTTATTCCATATCACCCTGCTCGAATAATGTAAAGATGATACTTACAGGAACAAGTGCGTTGGGAAATGATGACATCCAAGGAAAGAGTCAGTTTGATTCTATTGCTTGCCCTCCATTGCCATCCTTTTCTGCAGAACGAGTTCAGAAGGTGTTGAATATTGTTTTAAAATGGACAGAATTACAAATAGAAGGCCAAACAATTTAAAAGCAAAATTGAAGAAGATCTTTCAGGAACGCCTAAGAACATGCTATACTTCTTACTAGAACTAAGGAACCATTCAAGTCTTCCCATAACAATTATTGCTAGACACACTCGATAGTGCATATAACATTTACAGGACCAAACAACAGAACATGTTAAAACAGCTCCTCACTATTAGCATGAAAACACCTTTAAAGGAGAAGCTATTAGAAAAATTGGTCATTATTTTCTCATTCCCTAATTGGTTTGGTTTGGAAAAAGATGAAAATCGTGGTGTTTTGACTGGAAGAAGTTCAAATGAAGTAATTAAATATCTCCTACCGTTTAACCATTCTGGATTGGTGAGAATCAACCTTGAAAATGACATCATTACACTAAAAATTCCAGATACTTGTGCATTAAGGTATATCAGAGAAACAACTTTATATTTCCCTAAGGAGTGGTTTGCCACTTTCAATAACTCTTGTAGTGTCTGTCTGGATCTTTTAAAGGCTACACTGTACAAATTTGGCTTGCAATTATGCTCCTTAATCAAAACTCCACTCTCAGTACCCAAGTTCAGAATATTATCAAAGACAAAAAGAAGTTCTCATCAATATTCTACAAACAGAAATTACACCTCATTCGAAGGAAAACCTGAGGATATAGATGTGATTGGACCAATGATTGCAAGAAATGAGGACGATACATCTTTAGATGTAATTTTACCATATTCTGCCATTGATTATTACAAAGAGAGGGTTGATTTCAATTCGGTTGTCCAAATTACATGTTAGAAGGAGTTGGATCAAACTCTTAAAGCAACACAAAATTGTGACCAATTACTGAACTATACCAAGAGCAAGTCACGCGAGAGAAAGAGAGTATTTCACAAACCTCGTACTGGAAAGTTTTTGGGTCATCATCTTTTACCATCCAATAGAACAATAATCATATTTGAACAATTACAGCATTGCTCTTCTGACTCTCTGTGTTTACAATTAAGTTACCAGCAGGTTTTCCCTGGATTGATATTCTCAGAAAAGACAGTAGATATAATTGTTACAAGAATAGGTCAAAAACAGTAAATCGTTTTTAATTCTTGATTCTGGTGACCAGTCTCTTGAAAGAGAAGTGGAAGATTAGTTTTCAGATAAGAAAAGTTCAACTTGTGGAAGGTCAAAAAAACTAAAGGCACAAGAACCAGTTGACATTTCAGACTTGGATGAAAATTTAAAAGAAGGACCTATTCAAAATATTTGTTCTTTTATTACAAGAGTAAAGCAATAAGGAGGATAATTATTTATGCTGTTTGGTTTTTGCAGCACTTCTACCAGTTTTTTCTGAAATCTTTTTGATTAAATTCTTTTGACAAAAGTGACATGTCTGGGCAAGTCCTTGTTCTCTTGAGCAATATCCACAAATCATTTTTCTACCCATAATGTCAGAAGATGGAGCAGTGCATTCCAGTTCATGGCAAATATCACATGGATAGGCACGTCCACAACAATCGAACCTGAACCATCTCTTTGAATTCTTGTAATGTTCACATGTTCCAAAGAATGGAAGTGGTGCACCTACTGAAATACCTTTGAGTGGTTTCTTCTTTTTGTTGGTTGAGGAAGAATTCTTATTTTCATCATGCTTGTTACCACTGTTATGTGTTACCATTGCTAGATATTCACCAACAGTTCTCTTTTGTAATTGATTGATTGA